TGGTATTTATTGAACATTGCTTAGAAATATTCTTGTATTATAATAGACGAGATAACATGGTACTAGTTATTTTCAGAATGTTTTCTATAACTAAAAGTTATAGCTGAAAAATCGACCCCGGATATCACGGTGGGTCTTTTCTTTTTCGATTTTACTTTGATGACAAAATGTTTGTATCTTTGCGATTTTTATATTTCCTTGATTTAATTTTTTTACTTGATAGTTTAGTACTAGATAATTTATAGTGATCCCTCTTCTCCGGTGACGAGAACTTTGGAATAAACTGTAAAGTAATGAAATAAGGGTATTTTCGGGTCTTATTAAAAAAAATCAGAAAGCTGACTCATTTATTTTCTCAACAATGTGTAATGCAATTAATAATCAATGAATCAAACTTCAAAGCACTATAGGCATATATTACCGGTTTACACTGTTCTATCTCTTAATTTATTCCAAATCGATACTGTTTCGGACATTCAATCAAACATCTATTTGAAACAGATAATCTCCCTTCTTTAGGTGTTAGAATTTCTTAAATTATTTCTCTTCTACAGGTGGTGTATCTCCGTACTAACACTGTTGTATGTTAATCTGTCAGTGTGAGTTTGAAATGAACTTCGACAATCTGAAATCTTAATGACGTTCTGTAATAGTGGCATTCTTTCTCCTGAAGATTGCGTGGAGTCGTGCTTTGTATCCGAATGAATCGTGACAGCAGAGGTGCCAGATACATTTTATTGATAAACCAAAATCGTTTTCACCGAAGACGTCGAATGAGTTTCGCCAAATGATCGTTGATTCGGTCCGGAATCATTTATTAAAATGTTTATACTAACATGGTACATGTGAAGGCTCAAAACGGTAATAATTTATTTTATACAGTGTAATCCATTAAGTTCTCATTATGTGGAAACTGTTTTCGGTTTTGGTAATTTATGATTTATTTCACGCACAGTTGATGCGAATAATTGTTTCTGAAAAGTTTATTGACTTCCTGAAGATGAGGAAGATGAAGGTTAATCCTCACAACTGTTGGAAGGGGTAAAGCAAATAATTTATGAATTTTAGTCCACTTTGATTTGGCTTTATGCGTTTTTTCAGAATGGATCACCCTGTACATTAGTTTATCTTCATATTATATCTGAAGGTGCCCATGTTGAACTATTTCATTTTATTCGGTTTCAGTTAAATTCATTAGTGCTGTCCTTTTCTGATCCCCATGAAGTCTTATAAAAATATCAAACATTTTATTATTGTTTTTTCCTGAACAAATTGAATCTCTTATAATACAGGAAGAGACAAATTATCAAATTTGATTCTTTTGATATTTTACACTTTACTGTGTTAAAATTACTTGCGAATTAACTTTCATTTTTCCGCTATTTTCTATCGGCTAATAATTCCATCAATGGCGTCTTGAATGGTGAAACTAATGATGAACGTTTTGAAAAATTATCTACACTGTGACTCGTGTTCAATAAATCTGGAAGCATTCAAAAAATATTTGTAGGAGAAATATCCAGTTCAACTCTAAAAAACTAAATATTCATAATATCCTGCTAAATTGGATTGATTTGATGAATTAATTTCTTTTCACCATATTATTGTTCGACGTTTGGACCCGCTACCATTCAGAGTGATATCCCTGTTGATAACGAATGTTTAGTATAAAATATATCATGAAGCCCAGTTCACTTCCACCGTCTATCCATCTTTTCCTTTCATAAATATATAATGTCTGCCAACTCTTTTTTCAATGAAATCCCGAATAGTCAGCGAATCGTTAATAAAATGCAGAATTAAGTGGATCACCTCCCTCCAACATGTGGTTGGTTGCTGGCACGAAAATAGCGACGGCCGAGTGAGGCGATGCGACGGCGGCAATACATACAACAACATCTACAGTAAAGGTGATGCACGAAACGAGCGGTGGGACGGAACGATCGAGCGATCCAGTGGCGGGAGGAGAGCGACGTTGGCGCGAATGCGATGAGAACAAACTAGTGTGATAAGGTCGCTCGCGATTACAGTAGTGTTACAGTAGTGTTGTGTAGGAAAATAATATAGTACCAATACCAACTGGAAATTGATAATGAAGAATTCATCTCATGTATTTTGTCAAACCTGCTCTATGGGATAGTAAAAATGATCACCTTAGCTCGTAATGAAGGGTAGAAAATTGATCTTGATCAAACCAAAAATAATTCCACTGAATATGTATAATAAATAAGAAATTTTAATATTGAATGTGAGTCATAAAAAGGATTTGAAGCTTTATAACTTCTATTTAATTATCTGCGACAGCTGGTCGTACTGTCATCATCTAGGCACTCATAAGTGCCTAGATGTTAAGTTATAAAGTTTCAAATCCTTTTTGTAACTCACTTCAATATTAAAATAATGAAAGTGAAGGAAAATTTGTTGCATCATTCAAAATAAATAAGAAATGTTCTACAATTCTCATAATAATGAATTTAAAACCTGACATTTAATATCTCTGGTGGTGTTGCACATCCATCAAGTATACTATAAAAACTCTTCGAATATCAATCAACTCATTCATCCAAATTGTTGATCATTAGAGAACATTGCGTGCCATCGAAGATAATAATATACGGGACTCTTGAAAAATAAGTTGTCGCCCTGATTGATAATGGCCATAAAGAGATCGGTCACATCTTAATTTCCATCATCTTGTTAACCTATCGCTTTTTGACGCACAAATAACGGTGTCACTAAAATTTCTAAGTGCCCCAACTTGTAGAGATAAGAGAGTCTGTCTGCCCTTCATCACGTTCCCAAGGAATAAATGTGAGGAGTGTCTACTGGACCGAACATACATGGTTACTAATTCTATCCGTTTATTCAGAGGAGCCAACATAAAATTTTTGTTTTAGTACGGTAACTCTAAGAATCCCTGCAAGAATTAAAGAAATAATACTCTGGAACTCCCCATTCTCAAAACCAGGAAGAATTTATTCACCAAAACCAAAGTGATATGAATTGATTTTATCAATGGCTTTTTGATATTTCCACAAATAAAAATGTGATATGGTTTTTCATAGCTCCGATTTCATTCAGGAGAAATGAGGAATGGCCTAACTTGATAATTTTATTTCAAAACGTTGTTGGTTGTGTTCTGACTAGTTCCATTGGCGTCTTTATCTTGCGATTAGAATAATTTGAATTGATGCTTTATTTACAGACCTCGTCACATACACAATCAATAGTCTTTTGATAAAGATAATAATAATAAATTGTCTTTATTTGAACTGGCCGAAGGCTGGAACACATCCATATTTTTTTACATTGGAAATGCATAAAACCTGTCATCAATACTCTTTCCTCGGTAATTTATGAAATTCATACCTGTTAGTTTCTAATTGAGTGTGCATAAATTTATCCCAAATATTCACAAAGGACGGTAGCCGGTTGGGTTGATGTGTGTAGTTTGTTCCAGTCACTCAGTCGACCGCTGTGTGAACCGATGGTTCGAACCGCAAGGGGAACGATAGAGTTTCACTTCTTATCGTCCAACCCGCGCTAGAAATCACATGTTGAAAGGTTAGACCTCGTTAGTCCTTAGCTCGTACACGTTTCGACTTTTTTAATTGTCGTTCGTAGGGGTGTGACAGCTGGTTTACGGAAAAACATATTTTTTCAACTGAAATTCACAATATTTGCAACCTACTTTCGAATAATCATATTATTTTGTGTTGAAAACAAATAAACCTAAAATTACGTTACTAAAATCCCATACTTACCTTTCCTTCACTGGTAAACATTGAACTGATAGCAGAATTCAAGAGTGATCTGTTAATAGATAAAATCTCCTTTTATTCAATTGAATAGGCAATATATTACCTGGAGATTTTGATATATGATATTTAAATAATATTTACAAAGATTTTCATGAACAAAGAAATCGTGAAATTGAACTATTTACCTGTAATATTTTATGTACTCCATAAACAGTGATGGAACATATTTCTGAGAATCTGTTTTGGGCTCTGTAAACTCGAGTATTCTTTTATTTTCAATCCTTAGAATATTCCGTCTTTGTAGATTATTTCTGAGTTTCATATACTGAGTGCTAAATATTCTTTTAATCCTTACAGTTTGTGTTTCCTTCGCCAATAATTCGAAGAGAATATACTCCTTCCATATAATGCCCGACAATAATTATTATTATAAAAGTACAAATCATTTGCATTATTTTTCACTCATACCTTATTTCTCCATTATTGATTACAGTGGTATCACCTGGGTTTGTCTTCAAATTATATTTTTATTACTGCTATCAGTGAGTACAAATGTGATAGAAGATAGTAATGTCTTACAAGACTTCAAAAAAACCAAACACTGGCAATACCTTACTTTTTATATTCAATTTCTGATGAGGTACATGTTGGCAATGCAAATACATTTCAAGATATATAAAAACTCGATAACAATAGATTTATCAAGTTACAAAGGACCCTTGCCAATTATACTCTAAATCTAAACTATAGTTTCATGAAATCAATGAATTTACTTTGATTTACGTCAGTATCAGGCACGAAATTGACATTTGAAGAATACTCAAGAAAATTTTGAAATAAATAAATGCAAAATTTATGAAAAAAGAAAACTGAAAATAGTTTTATTTAAGTTAAACTAACTCAGGATACGTTCAGTCGTGCTACGAGTCACTCCATTTTCTTTCGGCTTTTTTTTGTGTACTTGGAAAACTTCGATCGGCAATCGAATTGAATGTAGAAAGTGAAACAAGTGATGTCGGTATGATGGAAAGACGGTAATGAATCTTTTTCAGTGTCGTATTTTATTATTTTTTGAATTTTTAAGAGGCTTATCTTTTCTTGTGGAATATACGATAGTGTAGCGGAATAAGTACACGACTGTCGACGCCCACTTTGGGTTGTGTCAAGTTGCAGCAGGAAGTATCTACTGAGATGAATAATGAAGGAAACGTTAGAGTAGGTACTAATGAAAACATAACCTTTTGAGTATGTTACATAAGTGTATTTCAGTCAGGGTTTATTTGATAACAATTAAGGTGTGTCAAAAAAATAATTTTTGTAGAAATATTTGAAAAAGACACTCATAGTTTAATATTTCACAAAAAAAAATTAATCAAACTCACAATTTTAGTAGTGATCGGAAATGCTGTATCGTCCCTCTTGCGAAATGTTTTTCGTCAGAGTTATAGAGCGAAAGAGACTTTTCAGTATTTTCCAATCGAAATTTTTTTACCATAGAGAGATCTTTGCCACATAGCATAATTTTATCATTATTAGTTTTTTCCGGCAATCAAATATTGCTGTATTTCTTCAAGCGTTTTTCCTTTGGTCTCTGGCACATATTTGATAACAAAAATCAAACCGACACAACTGCACATTGAGAAGAAGAAGAACGGAACAAACATGGTTTCAAACTCATCCAAAGCGATTTGAAATATCTTTGATACTAAAGCTCCCATCAAAACTGAAAACGTATCCGCTATGCCTAGAGCTTTGGCCTTAATATTCGTTGGAAACAATTCACTGAGAACTGTTACTGGGCCGAAAGCCAAACCGATACTGAAAAATATGTTGTAAGAAGTGAGCGCCGTAATAGGCAACCAGTTGAGTTTGTCAACAATTCCCACATGGAAGTCTTTCAAATAAAAGTGGAGGGAAAGCATGAATACTGAAAGGGCGCAACCAGCTGTGGAAGTTATCATAAGTTTCCTCTTTCCGAACCTGTCCACGATGAAAAAAGTTGCTGAAGCAACAGCAATCAATTCTACTGTGCAGTATACCACAACAGATAATGTGGGATTGATATTGCTCCCAGTTTCTTTGAAAATTGTCTCGGTGTAAAACATACACGGGTTTTTGCCACTAAACTTGTTAGTTAAGCAAAGAATGAGAAAAATATACGTAGCCTTTCTTATATTCGGAACTGTAAAAAGATCCAACACTCCAGATTTCTCTGATCTTTCCTGTCTACTTACTGCAATCCGCAGAGAGTTCATTTCGTTATCAACATTGGAGGTTCCTCTCAGTATCTCCAAAGACCGCCTTGCGTCTTTCATGTTGTGCTTCTTGATGTAATAATAAGGCGATTCAGGCATTAAAACGAAGGCTGCAAAGTGGATGACTGGGATCATTGCACATACCAAACTGGACGTGAAAATGTCCATCATTGAGCCAATGATGTTGATGAGGAGAGTGCCTGTGATAGCAAATATGGCAATGGTTGCCGTAAGAAAGCCTCTAATTTCAGGGTTTGAAATTTCTCCAATATACATCGGCAGAGCAGTGTAGGAGCCACCTTCTGTTGCACCAATTATGAATCTCAAGGCAGTGATAACCCAAATGGAATCTGCAATGGAGATGAATATAAAACAAATAAAGACTATTGGAGCCATGAGGAGAGTGGTAAATTTTCTTCCAATTTTATCTGCTAAGTAGACGGCGATTAGGGCTCCAAAGGGTGAGCCTAGTAAGGGAGCGATTGCACACCATGAGCCTTGTGCGCTGGTTGTGGGAATCGTGGAGGTGATTGATGTAATTTTCGGTAAGTAAGGCGACGTCCAACCGAGGTTGATTCCTGAGCTCATGATGGAAACGGCACCTGGAAATTGAATTATTTTCTGAATACATTAGCAGTGTCCATATTATTTGAGTAATGGAGTTATAGAATTTGGAAGCATTTTCTGTACCATTAGTTATCGTGCCTAGAGCATCAAATTGTAATGAACTCTATAAGTATGTTGATTTCAATCAGATATTACTGCACTAGTGTTTTATCTGAGTGGTCACCGCACTAAATAGAGCAATAGTTTAGGAGGGTCTATTCGATCCTCCACTTCAACGTATGAGGGTTTATTGTATCTGGCACCTATTGAAATTTCAGTAAGTACGTCAAGCTTCCTAACGTAGCTGAGTAGTTTGTTTGAAGGTGATATTTCAGGTCCAATGATAAGAGTGAAAATGTACCAAATATTGAGAACCTCATTTGTGCATGTTTTATCATCTTCCATATCAGTGTTGGCCCGTTGCATTCTAACAGTTCAAGTCTCTTTATATGATGATTTAGACAACACTGATAAGTCAGAACGTCTACTAGACGCCAGAATGTCATCTTCATTTCTTCCAGGTTTGGAGACCAGCTCCCCTACCCTTTCGACTGATTGTTGGTCTCGAGAGGGACCAATGGGTTCATGACTGATTGATGACGGCATGAAGCCCTTAGACATCAGTGCCGCCCTTCACGGGATTACTAGACAAGATTGGTTTCCCTTTTTGTAGTCTAACGATCGTTTGGTGACATGTGTGAAGTTGGTCTCCAACACGAATTTTTCCGAAAATATATCAATGGCGAAGACTTCCATCTCCACCAAATATATCTCTGAATCAACGTTTCCATATTTTCAAGTGTTTTTAATATATCTGTGAACTAACATTTCCAAATGAAGTTTTCTACTTAATACTACATAGTTTCTGAGAATTGACCATTTGGGAGACAAAAAAATTGACCTACTTGATGAAACGATTGATACGTGCGTTGAAATTTTCGAAATGTTGAATTTTCAATGTAGCTATTTACTATTCCTACTTTAATTTTTTTTTAAATGAATGAAAATATTTTCATTTTCAATTTGTTACATGAATTTATAATGAAAGGTAATATGTAAATTTTTGAATTATTTTATTAAGGGTAAAGTATAAAATAAACCCATTTTTTTTTCAAAAAAAGAAAAAAAACCAATCAATACAGTTTATTGTATTATTTTCACTAAGAAGGGTTTTACAAAAACACTTTATGGTGAATATAATACAATAAACTGTATTAATTAGTTCTTTATTATGGATTTTCATCAAGTATCAGCCAATTCTATTCAATTATCAAAAACAGAAAAATTGATTTCGATATATCTAATCGATCCAAATCATTTGTGTTTCAATGAATCACCACTGAAATGAAAATACAATAAAAATGTCAAAAACGTTAAAGGCGAACTGAAAAATGCAGTATGATTCGTACATGTACAATTAACCTATTTTCTGATACTCGATGAATAAAAACTAAAATTGTATTAAGTTAAGGAGTTAGACAAGATTTTTCATATATGTATACATTATCAATATTTCAGAATGTCGACAGTTCATTCAAACAAATGTAGAAAAAATAGACTATCAATTTTTTGTAAAGTGAAGTGATATTCTCGCTAATTTTTCATCATAGTTGCACAATGATGAGGGAGATAAGGGATTCAGCAATAATTTCAGTGCCAAAACTATGCAATTACTATTTAAATTCACTACATTTTTTTCAGTGAATCCCACTTGCTTTTAAAAGAAATGTTTTCGTAAGAAATGTTTTTCGAGAAAAAATCATATTATTGAATATACAATATATTATAACACATTTCTGAAATTATGGATTTACACTCTTTTGATAAATCGAACTTGGTGCACTCGTAATATAACCCTTAAGTAAACTTTATTGTATCAAATATCCCTAAAGAAGCTACTGTATAGCGACACATGTTAGGGTTTTGTAAAGTATTGAGTGAAACACTCACATAGTGCTTATTGGCGTATTTTGGACGAACATTGACCTTATTTGAATATAATTTAGAATTCATGGGCCTCATCCAAACTTGAAGAAAAAGTGAATTTATAAAAATGAAATTTTGAATCTTCTCATTGACTTAGCAACAATACATAAAGTTGATTTTTCTATTCACTGAAATTAATGACTTTTGAAAAATCCCAACATATAGTGGAAATCGATGATTATTGTAACACTCAACATAGAATGCATTCATCCTATATTACAAACTCAATAAATCATGTTCAATATACCTGTAATAGTTGCAATATATTGGAACAAATTGCCTTTGTTGTAAAATAAGGCATTTTCCCAAAGGACCACCATTCTCCTAGGTCTAGGTGAAACTAAAAACTACCTTCCAAACAGACTAAGAGCTCTTATCAAAATAAACTGATTATCAACCTCCCGCGAAATTTTACTGCCCAAAATCCATATGATAATATTGATGAACATTTGAATGAAATAATATTAATTACTATGTAAAGAATTGAAATAATGAGTTGTTTCATATCAGTTTTAATTACAAAAGCAAGCAAATATTGATTTGCGAATTATACAGGGTAATTTGAATTATATTTGTATGTATCATGCGTCAATTAACAATGATGAAAGAGACTTTCATGTACCGGCTTAATAATTATATTCATTATCATATTGACATAAATGTTTTTAGTTATCGACATTTTCCAAAATAGTTAAATATAATTTGATTGAAAGCTATGTATTTAATGAAGTGTTTATTTTTTGGGAAAGAAATGTTTTCATTAATTCGAATGTAGTTGTTTCCAAAATATTATTTTTTTCATGCAACTCAATGTTTATATGAAAATAGTTGTTTCGAGTAGGTTTTTTCTTCCAGTTTGAAAGTCATTTCTTTGCATGAACCACACATCTTCGTGAAGAGTTTATTTTGAAATTGATTGATTTCTTCTTTTCTTTGGAATAGTTCCATAATTTTTTGTACCTCTATCAAAAAAACTGGTATTGATTTTCTAAGGATTGATGTGATCATTTTATGATACGACTATTTGAAATGGCTAATGGAGTTATTCCATAGATTTCTATGTTTGCAATGCCAAGATGAATTCACCTCAAAATTTCATGACTGTTCGCCTTATATGAAGGCATTTCATTTCGAAGGTCATGAAAATGCTATCATTTTCAATAAATTGATGTTACTACGTTACTACGTGGTAGGAAATCATCATGAAAAATGAGAATTGAAACTTTTTACGTTATTTACCATTTTTATTTGTAACTAACATTAATGCATTAAATAGTAATGTATAAGTTTGAAAATGTCCTCATAGGATGAATCTGCAGTAACGTTAATTACGAATAAAAGTGGTAAAAAACATAGAAAGTTTCAATTCTAATTTTTCATTATCATTTTCAGTTATTAATTGTCTCATTTTTTTCATATGCGGATTTATGAAAAATTGTACAATTCATATAAAACTCTGCTTCATTTAAAACATGAATTTTTCATTTTAAATAATAATAATATGTCTTTATTCATCACAATAATGAGTACAAATTAAATACAATTCGAAGAAATGATGAATAGGCGGTGTTCAGCTATGAGAGCTGCTTTTAAACCCAACCTCGATTGGTATGTATTTTTATTATTTTGTATTATATTCGGATATGTGGGAAATTGCCAAAATCTTTTGCATATGTCGTGCCCTATCACTGTTGTGTAAGAAAAATGTCTTTCAACCTTTTCTTAAAGTTTCTCAATGAACTTTCTCTAAAGTCTGTAGGGATGGTGTTATACAACTTTGCCGCATTGTAGGAGAAGAAACTTCGAGTAAATATTGCTGTTGAATGCCTGGGAATGAGCAAAGTATGCCTATTACGAGGAAGTGCCACTGTGTGATAGTGCAACTAGTCTTTCACGTAAGTAAGGCGGATATCCCGAAACAAGAATTCTATGCGTGAAACTAAGCAAACGGATTGCTCTTAGATATTTAAGTGAAAGCCAGATAGAATCTCGAAAGGACGGACTTATGTGATCATACTTTCGGATACCGTAAGAAAATCTGACACAACTATTTTGTATTCGCTGGAGTCGCATCACATCTAATTGTTGTAAGGCGGGTCCGTAGATACAATCGCAGTAAGCTTATCTTGAAAAAATGAGTGTTTCACAGAGATTCAACTTCATTTCGATATCCACAGGCTAGAAAATAACTTTAACTCTACTTTAGTATTCAAAGAAATCAAATATAATGGGAAATGTAGATAATTCATTGAAATTTTCGAAACTAAATTCTTTAACATCTTTTGATACGCCACTGATTTCGTATTGCTAATATCTAAGACATGAAAGTTTCATTTTCAATAGTTTTTACGGTACCTATGAAAACGCATTTTTTTCTTCAACTCTCAATATTCCGTATCTCCGAAAGTAAGAATTTTTAAATATTTATTCGAAGTACCTTTTGTACTTAAGAACCGCCTTATTCATTCCGGTTTGTATCCTCATTGAAAGTCCCTTGTCCTAGAAAATATTTCATTAATCTATAACAAATCATTTATAATTAATTGTGTCAATAATACTCTAATCGTCACTATTTATACTATTCAACAATTTGAAAATAAACTATAATCACTATTAACAACAATTATAAAAGAGATGTAATGTAGACATTCATTATATATTCAATGCCAGGTGACCATCAATTTATATAGAATTGCTACATTTTTATCAAACTATCATGACAGCAAAACATTTCAACGATTGAAACTACTCGTAGTATCGGGTTACAATTAAAATTTTCAGAGAAAAATAGAATAACTCGATTTTTTCGTTTTTGATTTTTTTCTACAAAAATTTATTATTTTCTACGATATTTGACAAAAACTTACCTTCTTGTAATTTGAACATGCTGGAATATTCAGTTCAATAATTTATTTTGATGTTAAACATAAAAAAATTTCATGTTCAACTTGAAGTATCAAAAAAAAATAATAAAAAAAAATTACAGTGGCTATTTTTTCCTTCAATTATCTACTTTCAGACGGCGTAACATCCGTTTTAAAAAAAAATCCGTTTAAAATCCATTTTCCGTTAATCAGCTGTCGCCCCTATACGAACGACAACTAAGGAAAAATTGTAGTGACAAATGTAAATGATGTGAAAAATTGAAAATCTCGTCACTATGTTTGATGGATATAGAGAAATCCACTGGTATACCGTCTTTGGTGAATTCACCAGACACCATGTTAGATAACCATGAAAAGAAAATAAAACTTCCCACTTTGGGTAGATTGCTGAAATTGAAAACCAATCTGCGTACTAAAAATCTATTGAACGCAACAAAATTTACGTGATTTCAATTGACCTTCAACAATTTATACAAAATATTTTGAAATACTCAAAATAAAGGAAAATTAGTTGCATCAATCAAAAAAAAATATATATATTTGTGTGGATAATCTTAGCGATTGGAGAAATGTAGAGTAAAATGGATTAACGGGGTCTCTCAGTAAAAAAATAAAAAATTAAACTCTGCTCTACTTTGCCAAGCGTTCGCTTCTAATGGAAAGCTTCTTCAGGGCAGTAAAAATGAGTGAAAAACAATAATTGAACATATAAATTTACGAAAAGTTAACATGTATAGAATTTTTTTCGGTGAGACCTAAGTGGAACGACCTATTGGTGTGACACCCAAGTCAACTTGCGCTTACGCAATTATTTTTATTAAGTATTTTTCTTGGTTATTCACATTTTAAAAAACTAATCAATACACTTTATTGTATGATTTTCACTATAAGGGTTTTACGAAAACCCTTATATGCTTGAAGAGCACCAAATGGTTATGCTTGAAGAGCATAACCATTTGGTTATGCTTGAAGAAGCTATTGTATAGCGAAACACGTGTCGCGGTTTTTGTAAAACCCTTATAGTGAAAATCATACAATAAACTATATTGATTAGTTTTTTAATATGGATTTTCATCAAATATCGGCCAGTTCTATTCAATTATTCACATTTTGTCTTCAATCGAAGACCGCCTGCCCGGTACTGACGATGCCCAATAGGCTGAAACAGCTGTCTACCGGTGGCTCTTGAATTGAAATCAATATGGGAATGATCAGAATAGTACTTACCTATTTATGTTTTGATTCTCATGGAATTATTTTCCAGCAGCTTGACTGCATTGATTTTTAAAAAAAGTTATAACTGCAAACAGTTTATGAAACCAATAAATATTATCGATTGGAATTGAAGTATACTTCTGATGTGAAAAAAAAATTGCAAAATCCTTCAATATGTCTATTGATCATGAAATGGAAAATACCACTTCACTTTGGATATAACGCTGAAATTGAGAATGATGCTACATCCTAAAAATCTGTTGAACGAAAGATTTGTCGGCGTTGTCTATAAAACAGAATTTACATGAGGTACGCCTGGGGCTGGCTACTGTACCGCCACACCCCACAGATAACAGAGATAATGGCACCGACATCGGCATGCGACAGAAGGAGATAGAAGATCAGAGGTGAGCTGATCGGGCATTATGATCAAGAAACCCTGTAATTGAGTACTTATTAAACATTATTACAATACTAGCCCGGAGTCACTCTTGTAACATTTATAAATCAAGTTCACCTGATGTGGTGTTTCATGGTAGATTTGGTGGTTTTTTCTCGCGGAAAAGGTAGTTTTATAGCGATCTGAAGTTTTTCTGTACCAACTGGTGTGAGTTTGATGGTTTCGGCTAACATAACCGTACATTTCAATCAATACAGTTTAGAAAAACGTGCTGAAAAACGTGGCGTATCTGTTCAAAATCTGTTTTCCGTTAACCAGCTGTCGCACCCCTACGAACGACAACCCTCAAAAGTCCAAACTTAGCGCTAATATGTATAAATATGTATTAATAAACTGCAAAATGTTCTGAAATATAAATTTTCAATTGATTAGGAATTTTTATTGATATTTTGGTTTGCAATAAAACAAAATTGGTTATTTAGTCCAGCCAATTTAGACATTCGAAGCTACCTAAATTTCCACCAGGCTGAAAATCAGTGAGATTGTTTAAAATTAAATTGAAAATACAATTTGAGAGTTTCCCATCTTTCCCCTGTATAGAAAAAAATTATTCAAGGTCAAAGATCAAAAATATGAGTTTTTATGCGATTTTCAGCAAAACGGTAATTTTATCATAAAAATACTTCAAACAAATACTGTAGATCATAAAATTATCTACAAAAAATGTTTCAATATTTTTCTCCTACGAGCTACCGTTTTTGAGATATAATGATTCAAAAAGTTGTAAAAATTGTAATCGTCATAATATGCACACGTTTTCACGCTACCTATGAGGTACGGTACCTACTTAGCGCATTTTTTTAACGTGGTTTCCCCAGTAGGCCTATTCCACGGGTCAGTTGTG